GAATTTTAAAGATGTTTAATATACTATACATTTATAAAATAAAAGTTAACAGAATGTTTTGTAAATAATTAGAACAAGTGAAAATAAATATCAGAGACCTGAAGTTTTTATGCTTTAATGAAATAATATAGCAAAGAAATTTCAACTACTAAATATAATCTGAGAGGAAGTAAAAAAAAAATAAAACAACACAAAGAACAAAAACAAACAAAACCCCCAAATTTAAGAACACAATCCTCTGAAACAATCAGTCCATAGCAAATAGTCATTACATACCAAAAGCTCTAAGTGTTACCTAGTTCCACCACAACTCCATGTAAATCTTGACAATTTAGAAATCTTGAGATCAACATTTAAGTTACTTCTTGATCTCTACAGCTTGGTTCTAAGTACACACATGCTTTTGTGGATCCATTCCCCTCGCCACACACACACATTTTCAAGGAGCCAATAACATTTTTTCCATCTGTGCCTAAAAATGTTAAGATTCAGTTCTAGCACATTGACCCTGATAATGAAAATGTTTAAGTTAAAGGTGGAGGGGAGAGAGGGGGCATATTTTAATCTTATAAAAATATACCAGTATTAACCAGACCTTAAATTCAGAGAGGGCACGTCACATGTGCACGAGACTTTTAAAGATTTTAGTAAAATTGACAAAACCTAGAATAGCTGTTTCCAGGGCTTTCTCTACTAATTAAAAAGTCTCTCTCTCTCTCCCACACACACACTCACACATACATACCACACACACAGTTATACTATTAGTTTCACTGAATCCAGGCCATCTGGATCAAGGAGACAGGGGATGGGTTTTTATAATTTTTGTTTTTGCAACTATAGGGCAGCTACTATAACAATAGCTTAACAACACTGAAAAATTTCAATTAAGTTCACCCTGTTTTTAAAAAGTGTCTAAGTGTAAATGCAAATTTACCTCTTCTTTTAAAGTTAGTTTATCAGTATGATTTCTTAAATGGAAGTAATGTTTATGATTTAGTGAGCAACCCAAAAGGAGAGCTGCCAAAGTCTAAATGAGAAAGTAACACTAATTAAAGATATTTATGTATTTTTGATTTGGGACAAAAAGGATATTAAGAAAAATGTCTTCTTTCCTCCCCATTCAAAAGCAGCCATTCTTCTGCTGTACAGAAACTGACATGGATATTGTCCCTTTCAAGAGGTGGACCATATATTTACCCACTGTGAGGCAGAGGTGATAGGGTCAGTTCTTGTTTGCAGGAACCAACATCCTAAAAAAGAAAATTTCAAGATGGGGAGGGGTGGGAAAGAAGGATTTTCTATTAATGTCATGGAATGCCACTAGAGGCAGAACACTCCTAACAATAATCACCATTATGACTATTCGCATGATTTCAGATTAAGAAATATTGACAAAGTTGGACTTTTTTTTTTTCCAACTAGCAGGTTATTTTAATCATTTAGTTTCTATTTAAAGTTAGGGAATCCCTTTTGGTTCTCCCACCCACTAAAATGGGCCAACTTCCAGGGACAATAACAAAGTTTCCACTGTTTAAACTACTTACCTGGTTTAATATAACTTATCTGGCCAACAAGAGCAACAAAAATGTAGCAGGCATGAATATTAATAATAAAATAAAAAACTGAAGCTTTGTCATACCTCCCTCCCAACTAATTCTGGTAATGACCCACATGCCAATCTTAACAATCCCCAAATCCAGTGTTTTCCCATTAATAACTAATTATTTGGAGGAAAAGACATTTAATTTTATGCTTGCTCTAGCCCTTAATCAATGAACAACAAAAAACATTTTTAAGCACGTGGAAATGAGCCTACTAACCTGATTGTTTGGAGCCAAAAATCTCCACTCTATTTTGATCTATGTGCAAAAAGTATTGGTACTTTTCAATTTATACATTTGTTATTTATCTTGTGGCTGGCTTGATAGTATTCTCACTTTGCTTTTTCTCTTATGCCTACTTTAGAGTCTGTAGAAATGTCAGAAGTTTTCAGTTAATAGCTATGGATTAGAAAATCCTGCCATCAGTTTCTCTGAATCATAAAGTCCTAAGTTCTTCATATTTTACCTTTCTAGCACAGTCACTTCATGGTAAATGAATGAAACAGATGTTCACACCAAGTTGGCACAGCAAAGTACCAGTGTATATAGGAAGCTGCCAGTTAAGACAGACCTGGAAAACAAACTCACCTAGCTGCTATAGAAACCTTTGCATAGTTGTTACTCCGTTTTAATGGAGTTATGTTCTTGTAAAATGTGCCTCACATTTACTCCACTTTTTTAAAGTGTTTTCTAACTACTCAGATCTAAGAGTGGCTGGGTGAAGCAGACAGTAGAATCTGAGTGCCAAATTGCCCCAATGGGCTCAGATCTCAGTGAATGTTACAAATGTACCATCATCGCACACTGTAACCAACAGCTGTGGAGTTTCTATGCCCACATTTTGTAAGCGATATCACTGTAGAGACGGGGGTGTTATTAACGGCTTCAGGGTACACATGAAATCACTTAAAATATGACTGGTTTTAACTGTACTGAGGTAAAGAGAAGTTGCCACTTAATTATATACAGTTACCAATGAAGATTTTTATTCAAGCTTAAAGTAAAAAGTAATTTTAGTTAAGAAAAATGAAATACCAGATAAACTGTAACATATATTTTAACTCAGAAGTATCAAAACAGGAATTCTTTGATTCTCTAAGTGGTGGTCTCTGCAAAATGGAGCTTAAAGAAATCTTTTACATACCAATTTGATAAAATAATCTGCTGACCATGGTCTGTCATCTTCTCTTACTATGAGCTTTTGGGAGAATCCATGCTACTTTAAGGCCAATTGTTTTTTTTTCCTTCTCCTCTCTTCAATTTCCCTTCTCCCTGCTGCCATTCCCTCTCCCCAACCCTCAACAATGGGAGCACACCAGCATCCAAGCCTTCTCTTTGTAGATCCTGAGGGAGTCTACTCATTGTAATGATATGGTATTGACTTGACTGGGCCTGAAGGGGAGCTCAATACAAGACTTTTCTTCACTAGAATCTTATATTGGGGGTATCCCCCCTCCTTCCTAACATAACAGCAATGGTCACCATATTTATCCTCTACTGAAAAGGGAGAAAATTTCAAAGGAGACTAACTATGGTGTATTCGGCTGTTAAAGGGTTTAAAAGCACAATGTGAACGTCAGGCTTTTGGCTTTTTTTAAATGTGGAATTCTCAAAATTTTAAGTGCTTTTCCATGAAGGATACCCTTCCTTATACTAAAGGGGAGGGGATAGGGAAGGACTACCCACAGCACCAGTTTAGAATGAGGTTCAGTATGGCAATATCTGAAAAACTGAGGAGTATTTAAATTTATGTCTCCATATATGTCAAAATATTAAGGGCAATTACGAGAAATGACTCACTGTGAGGTTTTAAAACCAGTTTAAGTATGCTTATAACCTGCTGTGTTTTTCTAACAATCTCAGTTACACTATGAACTTCCAAAGTGGTCATATCTGCTGATTTCTACTCTCTTGCTAGATTATACCAAAATGATTTCCCAAGTTGAGAACAATTTGGAACAAGCTTTGTTGAAAACCTAAACTGACTGAGCTCTCATGTTGGTATATTTAAAATTCTCTTTTAAAAGCCTGAATTTCTTCAAGATCAGGTGTTTCTATAGGAATAAAACAAAAGGGAGGAAATCTTCAAAGTATTACTCTTAATTTTCTGTGTAATGTTCTTGCAAGCACTGTTTCTGACCAAGTCTTGTAGTACTCCAGAAGAGTATCAGTTATACTGCATATCTAAGTCACAGAGGAAACTGTTTTTAAGCTGGTTTAGATTCCAAATGTATACAAATGAAGTCACTTTAATCCTATAAATACTTCTTAATTTATTTTTAAAAAATTGTGCTGTTAACCCTTTTACGGGGCAACAAGCTATGTGAAAAGTACAAAACTTTTTGTCAAATGTAATATTGAGAGTGCTTTTGACATAGTTCACTGGTTTATCATCTGGATCAGTATATACTGCGCAACGGGCAAGGCTAGAATCCATGAACCAAGCTGCAAAGATCTCAAGCTAAATAAGGCGGAAAGATTTGGAGAAACAAAAGAAGGAAATTCTTTCCTATCCAATGTATACTCTTCAGACTAATGCACTCTTTCTATCAAGCCTTCTAAACTGTTAAATAAAGTTTTCCAAACAAGCATTTAAACTTCATTACACAGAAGAGCAACAAGAATGGTACCCTGCCAGACAAAAGGCAGGAGGGAAAAAAATATATATACTGAGTTCAATGGGTAAGCCTGAATGTAGCACAGTTCTTCACAACCGATGGGGGGATAATTCAACATGGTGTCCAACAACGTTCTAACGACGTGCTTCATCTCAACTGGTTACTATGAAGCAAGGTGTAAATGTTTGGCCCCAATTGGGTTTCAGAAATGGTTCTTTTTTCATGACGAGCATGTCCGTCCAGCTATCAATCATGTTTGTTTGCACCAAATCCCAAGCCATTAAAATACGACTAATTTTAAGTTAAACAGAAGTCGTCTGCTCCAAATTCGCCATCAACTATCCATGCTACTGCATTCCTCTGGATGAAGATGAAATGTATATTTGGGGAGGTAGGGGGGAGAAAAAGGAAGGGGGAGAAAAAAGGTACCAGTTAGAATGTTTTAAAGTCAGCATCACAATATTACAAAATACAGTACAATAAAAAAAATCACATCAATGCAAATTCTTGATACTTTTTCATCGTATCATTAGAACAGTGTGTCTGATCATGTCATAGGCCAAATATTACAATCTAAACTCAGGATTACTCTGATTAACAGAGAACCCAAATAATCATGTTGAAATCTCCTGCTTTTTAAATAAACCTTGACATAGTTATGATGAATAGAAGCATCTTTATGATCATTTACAATAGAAAAAACAAACATCTGATAGTAGAACTCTGCAAATTTGCTTTGTAATTAGATATTTGGTTTATCCCTCTTTCAATTGCTCAGTTTGGAGTTCTGCAGAATCACCCTCCTCTATTTTTTTCATGTGTGTGTATAAAACAGCATAGTTGAGATGTAATTCACATACCAAACAATTACCAATTAAAATACACAATCCAACAGTTTCTAGTATATTCACAGGGTTATGTAACCATTACCACAATCAATTTTAGAATATTTCTTCACCCATTAGCAGTTACTCCCCATTTCCCTCCCATACACTACCCCACCTGCTGCCCTAAGCAACCACTAATCTACTTTCCATCTCCATGGATTTGCCTATTCTGGGCCATTTTATATAACTGGAATCATATAATATGTAATCTTTTCTGGCTTCTTTCACTTAGGATAAAGTTTTAAGGTTCATCCATGTTTTACCATGTATCAGTAATGTCATCCTACCCTATATACCCCCAAATACACATAGTATGTAATTCTACTGTTAACAGTAAAAATTCTGCAAATTCTTTTTTGAAATGAAGTGGTCAGGTGAAGAATTTTTCTTTAAATGCCTTCTTGTATCTTATTTGAGTATCATTTTCTTTGGTCTCATCTATACTTTTCAAATTTTTTACTCCAAACAGGAATTACTTAAAAAAAATTATCTTCCCCTTAGAGGAGAAAAAAGAAACCAGAGGAAACCTGCATTAAAAGCATATAACCAAATATCTGATTAGGAGTTGCTGTCCTATTTGACATGAAAATGAAAATCTTTTTAGGGATGTATCCATATTGCCAAAATGCAGAAGGTGGCTGTACTGAATCCACATCTTACTAATGAACCAAAATTTGGCTCTCCCACCATGAGTAAGCATCCACATGATCAAATTCACCAAACAAGCAGTGAAGGCATAAACACTACATTGCAGCAGGGGGCATAAACACATCCTCAAAGATACCTCTAAAATAAATTAACTTACTGAGTCAATCTGTTACTATATACCTAATATTTTCCTATTTCTGCAAATCAAATATGATTACTTGAAAAAACAACTTCCAAATGACTAATAAAATTAGAGAAGCACATATGATCATAGTTGAATCTAAGAAGGCCCTGAAAACTTGACCATGACAACAAAAGGTAAAAATTTCTGGTCTCAGTTGATTTCCCAGAGCAACGTTAGAAGATCATGTAGTAATCTACATACAAATACAAAAGGGCCCATCAAGGCTCTGTGCAACCAAGCAGTAGTTCTCAAGCTTTTGACCTAGGTACTCTTCATACTCTCATCCCTGGCTGTGTATCGTCACCTGCCAGTAAAGTCTGGTCAAGTCTTCTCTAATTTGTACCATAAACATAACAAAGTACAGAGAATATAATTTTTCAAACCATACATCTACCCTCTCCACTGAGAATCACTTAACTGAGAGCAGTTAGCATCTTTCCTACTAATGCATGTAGGTGGGACATGATATGTGGAAAAAATGTAAGTCTGTTTCTAAGTAAATTACTTCCTCTAAATGAACTAAGCATGTTACCTGCTCTGTATGATAAAAGCAATGTCATTTACAAAAAACTTCTTATAAGCCCTTCTCTCTAGTACTGATATCATGCCCGATTTAAGCTTCTGTTCTTAACTGTTAGTGTTAATGTTTTGAGCTTTCTTCACCTCTACGAATCTCAAAACCAAAACCACTGACCAGAGAGTCAATTCCAAATCATGGTGACCCTGTAAGTTTCAGGGTAGAACTGCACTGCGTAGGGTTCTCAAGGCTGTGATCTTTCAGAAGAAGTTTGCCAGGCCTTTCTTCTGGGGTGCCTCTTTTGGTTAGTAGCCCAGTTTTTAACTGTTTGTGCCACCCAAGATTCCAAGTATCTCAAAGTAGTGAGAAAAATCTTTCAGACCTTATATGTGAAAACCTGAAGCACTCAACAAGTTAATTAGCTTTGCCATGTTTCAGTTTCCTCATCTGTACAAACAAGGAGAAAAATACTTCTCTTATGGGATAACGATTTTACACAAGGTAATGAATATAGGGCCTAGCATGCTGCTTGACACACAGGTACACAGTAATAAATTTTAGTTTCCTATTCTTTTCCTCCCCATCAAGCATAGCTCATGACAGAATGCTATAGTGCATTAACATGTTTGTTTATAATAATAATAATAATAATAATAATAAAGATCATTAAAACCTTCTCAAATTGTTTGGATTTTATATACTGGTTGGAGTCTCATGTGGAGCCCCTGGGTGGTACAAATGGTAAACTTGCTTGGCTGCTAACTGAAAGGATGTGATTCAAGTCCACCCAGAGACTCCTAAGAAGAAATGCCTACCTATCTTCTTCCAAAACACCAGCCACTGAAAGTTCTAATGGAGCATGGTTCTACTCTCACACAAATGGGGTTGCCATGAATCAGAACTGACTTGATGGCAGCTGGTTTAGTTCTCATATTTATCACAAATTATTTCTCATTGAAGTATAAAATACTTCATCAAATATTATATTTAGGTATCTTTAGGGAGTAAGATTTTTCAGTAAGATTTTTAAACTGACGATACTAAATAGCTAAGCAGATATAAATGGTAGCATATTCCAACTGATTCTTCCCACCATCAACTAAACAAACAAACAAATTGAAAAAACAAAAAGAAAACCCTGATTAGATCTTAAAACAAAGTCCTCTTATGGGGTAAGATAAGGTAAAATCTCTAAAAAAACAGAAAATAAATAATATACCATACTTTAAATTACTGTTTAAAAGTGCTGCAGGTTTACAGAAAGCCAGGTGATGTTTTCATCTGGGGGAAAAAAACACAGGAACAATGTACAATGGTGTTACCTTCAATATTCTGGTGGTCTATAAAAGGTGCTGGTCCCCATATTCTAACAGTGCCATCATCTGAGGCGCTGGCCATCATGGATGGAATCCATAAGTTCTAGCTCACATAGTTCACTATACATAGGTACCCTGTCAGCTCTGCAATTGGCAGCTCACTACGTTTGTGCCAGATGTAAACTTTGTGATCTGAGTATAAACAGCAATTCAGAGAGGAGTTAAAAGAGTTGTTTTAAATTTAACATCAGTTGGTTTTTTAAATGTATCGTTCACTATGCATATAACATGACTTCTGATTACTATACAGCTTGAAGGAAAAATATGACACATTAATAGTTTAACAAATTACCTTAAGCAAAATCATTTTAGTAAAATATACATTTTTTTCTGTTAAAGGTGATCAACTTTCATCAAGTCATCAAAACAACTACCTGAAATATGCTGTCAATAAAGTACTAAATAAAACAAATCTAGGTTCTTTGTACACATATCTAGCATAAAGAGGATAAATATTTGTCACTCGTCATTCTATGGAATCTTGAGGTGAAAGAAATACAAGGTATCTCAATTAAAAAATAACAACAATGAAAATGACAGGTAAATTTTTATTGAGTGCTTATGAAGTACTAAGACTTGATGTATACTATTTAATCTTCATCACTATCCTATGAGGGAGATACGACTCTTATCCCTTATGGATGGTGACTAAAGTATAGGAGGTTAAGTAATTACATCATAGCTAAGAGCTGGTAAATGGTTAAAGCTAAGATTCAATCCAGTCAGCCTAGCCAGAGTTTACTAGTGAGTCTAGACAGAGTCCCATATCTGCATCATAATATGGCTTTGTGGTAGGCTATTTATAATCTCACAAAGTGACCATGAAGACCAAAAACTCCCAAAATTTTGTGAACTAATCTTCAAAATAAATAACCAACTACTATAGAACAGGAGTTAAGAGCATGGAAATCAGGCTACCCAAGGTCAGATCTTCCCTCTCCCATTGACTAGCTATGTAACATTGGTCCTGTTAAGCACTTTTTTCAACTCTTCATCTGTAAAACTTACACTGTGTTGTTGTTAGGTTAGGATTAAAGAAGTTTATACAGACATACCTCAGAGAGATTAAGGGTTTGGTTTCAGCTCACAGCAATAAAGTGAATATCACAGTAAATCAAGTCATACAAATCTTTTGGCTTCCCAGTGCATACCAAAGTCATGTTTGGTTTTTGGTTTTGGTAGTCTATTAACTGTGCAAGACCACTATAAAAAAGTTTGAAGTATTGTGAGAATGACCAAAATGTGATACAGAGACATGAAGTGAGCAGATGCTGTTGGAAAAATGGTACCAATAGACTTGCTCAATGCAGGGTTGCCAGAAACCTTCAATTTGTAAAAATAAAAAATGTTAACTATAAAATATAAAGTACAATAAAAGGAGGTATATGCCTATATATGAAAAAGTGTTTTGAATAAATAGCCTCTAAGTCTAAAACTTTGTAAACAATAACAACAACACATATTACTAAAAAGAGATAGTTAACTAAGTATAGGTAATGGCTCTTAAACAGAAAGCAGAACAGGGGTAAATCAAAAGTGTCCAATCTGATGATGTTATCAGTCAACTATGGTTATATAGAAATTCTCTGTGGGTGTGCTGCCAACTGAGGAAACCTTAGAGTGGTGAAATGGTATTTAACTTGTGGTATAAAAATATGCCCTGGTCTCAAAATTCCTGACATAACGATAAAAGGATTAGGAATGTACTTCAGCTTTTTTGTGAAGCAAAATATAAAGATTTTCACTAACTGAAAATGCTAAATCTATCCTTCTTAGAAGGTATCTGTTGTTCAGTAATTCTGATAATTTTTCCTTGCCTAAAATAAAAGTAGAAGGAAAATAAAAAGCAAATTAGCTGTGTTTCCTAGAACTAAAGACATTCACAAAGGTCAAATACAGGTTTAAATTGTGAATTTAACTGAAATCTGTCTATATTTGAAAGAAAAAAAAATTATTATTATTTTTTTGAAAACACGTAATTAAGGAAGGTGTTTGCTGAAGAGGCAGAGAAAATTAGGATTTGAAGTAGTCATGGTCAGAATGATAGGCTTTGTGATGAAGCTGTGTTTCCTTTATTGGTCTGGGAAATCCAGTCTTTATTCAAAGTTACAAGTTAAGTCCAGCTTTTCTTTATAACCAGCACAATGAAAAAGCTTGTGTAATGGCACAAATTGTTTTTGGGGAAAAGATTTCTAATTGCTCTATTTTATACATGCATTCAAGTATCTGAGGATTTGGAGACCTTGAAATATATTCCTTGTAAATAAATGATAAATGGATAATTGTGGTCATATTGAAAGATAATATTCCCACTATATCTAATTAAGGAGCCCTGGTGGCACAGTGGTTAAGTACTCTGCTATTAACTGAAAGGTCAGTGGTTTGAACCTACCAGCTGCTCCAAAGAGAAAGATGAGGCAGTTTACTTCTATAAAGATTATAGCCTTGGAAACCCTATGGGGCAGTTCTACTCTGTCCTACAGGGTCACAGAGTTGAAATTGACCCAATAGCAACAAGTTTTGTTTTTATTATCTAATTGGTGTTCAAACTATTTTTAGAACCATTCTAAACTACATGAATCACAAGAAAACCAGTCTTAACTTCATAGTTATTACTCGTTTTTAACCCCAAGCAGAATATAATGCATTTTAATTTCATTATTCATCAAATTTTGCTCTAAATTAGTTTGGGCTTAAAAAAACAAAAACTCTGCATCACCTAAAATGGTGGCAGCCATATATATATTTTAAGAATTTCTAGGGCAATCAAGATGTGTTAATTATCACTGGTGACTGGAATGCAAAAGTTGGAAACAAAGAATCACCAGTACTTGGAAAATGTGGCCTTGTTAATAGAAATAATGCTGGAGATCACATGACAAAATTTTGGAAGACCAACAACTCATTCATTGCAAATACCTTTTTTCAACAACACAAACGGTTGTTACACACATGGACTTTGCCAGATGGAATACACAGGAATGAAACTGACTACATCTGTGGCAAGAGGCGACGGGAAAAGCTCAGTATCTTCAGCCAAAACAAGGTCAGGAGCTGATTGTGGAACAGACCATCAACTGCTCACACATAAGTTCAAGTTGAAGCTAAAGACAATTAAAACAAGTCCAAAAGAGCCAAAATATGACCTTGTATATATCCCTCCTGAATTTAGAGACCATTTAAAGAATAGATTTGATGCACTGAACACCAATGACCAAAAACAAGAATAATTGTGGGATGACATCAAGAACATCATCCATGAAGAAAGGAAAAGGTCATTAAAAAGACAGGAAAGGAAGAAAAGACAAACATGGATGATGTCAGAAGAGACTCTGGAACTTGCCCTTGAACAAAGAGTAGCTAAAGCAAATGAAAGATACGACAAGATAAAAAGGCTGAACAGAGGATTTCAAAGAGCAGGTCAAAAAGATAAAGTCATTTATAATGAAATGTGCAAAGACTTGGAGTTGGAAAAGCAAAAGGGAAGAACATGTTCAGTATTTCTCAAGCTGAAAGATCTGAAGAAAAAATTTAAGCCTGTAGTTGCAATACTGAAAGATTCTATGAGCAAAAGACTGAATGATGCAGGAAACATCAAAAGAAGATGGAGGGCATAAACAGTCACTTTACCAAAAAGAATTGGTAAATTTTCATCCATTTCAGGAGGTAGCGTACGATCAAGAACCAATGGTATTGAAGGAAAAAGTTGAAGCTGCACTGAAAGAACTGGCGAAAAACAAGGCTCCACGAATTGACGGAATACCCACTGAGATGTTTCAATAAACCATTGTCACGCTGGAGGCACTCACTCAGCTACGCTAAGAGATTTGAAAGACAGCTACCTGGCCAACTGTCTGCAAGAGATCCGTATTTGTACCCTTACCAAAGAAAGGTGATCCCACGGGATGTGGAAATTATCAAATAATATCATTAATATCACACGCAAGTAAAATCTTACTGAAGATAATTCAAAAACAGCCGCAGCAGCATATTGACAGAACTTCCAGAAATGCAACCTGGATTCAGAAAAGGATGTGGAACGAGGGATATTATTGCTGACGTCAGATGGATCTTGGCTCAGAGCAAATACCAGAAATATGTTTACTTATGTTTTATAGACTATACAAAATCATTTGATTGTGTGGACCATAAAAAATTATGGATAACATTGAGAAGAATGGGAATTCCAAAACACTTAATTGTATTCATGAGGAACCTGTACATAGACCAGGAAGGGGGCTGTCGCTCCAACAGAACAAGGAGACACTGCATGGTTTAAAATCAGGAAGGGAGTGTGTCAGGGTTGTATTTCACCATACTTACTCAATCTGTATACTGAGCAAGTAATTTGAGAAGCTGGACTATATGAAGAAGAACGTGGCATCAAGACTGGAGGAAGAATCATTAACAACCTGCAATACACTGACGACACAACTTTGCTTGCTGAAAGTGAGGATGACTTGAAGCACTTACTGATGAAGATTGAAGAATACAGTCTGCAGTATGGATTATGTC